ATTAATGAAAAATTAAGTTTTAAATTAATTTATTCTTAATTCTTAAAACTTTTTTTTAATTAAAACTTTAAAATAAAACGAATTTTAATAAAATTATTTTGATTAAAAATTTTTTAAAACGTCAAACTTTAAAAAGCGCCATCTATGAATTTATTACCGAATCAATTTCGACAATTCAATTTATTTACGTTATTTATTATTAAAATATTATCCAAACTCTATCTCAAAGTCCTAAAACAATCATTTTTCATATTAATACAACCCCATCTTTTAAATAATCATTATTAATCACAAATTATGCACATCAAAACAGCGCCATCTTTTATAACAACTTAAATTAGAAAAGAATTTCGATTTTAATTCGTATTAACGTAACTTTAAGTTTTAAATGAATTTATTCCTAATTTATAACCTTTTTTTTATTAAAACTTTAAACTAGAACGAATTTCAATCAAATTATTTTGATTCAACGTTTTTTAAAACGTCAAACTTCAAAAAGCGCCATCTATGAATTAATTATCGAATCAATTTCGAGAATTAAATTTATTAATTTTATTATATTATTTATTATTAAAACATTATTCAAACTCTAATTAATTCCTAAAACAATCATTTTTCATATTAACATAACCCCGTGTATTAAATAATCATAATTATTCATAACAAAACAGCGCCATCTTTTATAACTGACTTGAATTAGAAAAGAATTTCGATTTTAATTCGTATTAACGAAACATTAAGTTTTAAATGAATTTATTCCTAATTTATAAGCTTTTTTTTATTAAAACTTTAATCAAGAACGAATTTCAATCAAATTATTTTATTTTTTAAAACGTCAAACTTCAAAACGCGCCATCTATAAATTAATTATCGAATCAATTTCGACAATTAAATTTATTAATTTTATTACATTCTTTATTATTAAAACATTATTCAAGCTCTAATTAATTCCTAAAACAATCATTTTTCATATTAACATAACCCCATGTATTAAATAATCATAATTATTCATATCAAAACAGCGCCATCTTTTATAACTTCCCCACACCTACATTATTTACATCATTTACACCGTTGGTTTGACTTCGGCTCCTTCGTACAACTTCTATTTTCACCTTAATTATCNTCAACAATCAGCAGTACAATGGATGTTACATAGAGAAAGTGTAATCCAAGAAAAGGGTAAAAACTTATTAATCAAAGTGTCATTCTTAAACAGTAATTATCTCCTTTTTTTGTAGAAATAATTAATCCTTTATATGAAAAAATCACATTAAACAACAAAACCGAAATTTATTTCGATAAATACACAGGGCACATTGAGCCATATCCCCCCATCATAAAATCATTTCAATCTTGTGGTATCCTTGCTGATGAAATGGGATTAGGCAAAACCGTCGAGATTTTAGCGCTTACACTAATCCACACTAGACAATCTATTTATCCCATTTATACAAAAAACAATGTAAATCATTCACTTGAAAGTGAAACACCCACCATTGAAATTTCGACTAAAGTTCGTAAAAGAAAATCAAATTTTTCTGAAGATATCACTCACGTAATTGCCGAAAAAAAACCTAAGCGGGAAAATAAACGGGAAAAATCGCTTCATCGCCGCGCGTTAGAAGCCTGGTACAATAACATGTTGGGATTAAACAAAAATGTGGAAAAAAAGTCGTTACTTCAATGCGTTTGTGGTGATAAGAAGGAGGAGGATGTTGTTGAATGTTCGAAATGTGGGAAACAACAACATTCGGGTTGTTTGGGGTATCAAGAAAAATTTGGTGCTTATATTTGCCCTCAATGTTGGATTCAAGAGGTAAATAAATTTTATTTTAATAAAATTCCATTATGAAAATTTAATTTTTTGTAATTCGCGACGGTAATGAAAGCTATTACAGTACTCAAAAGGGTGCTGTAATGAGACTCCTACTATATTAACTACACTAATTACAAAAAAATAGCATAAAAAACACGTTTCATAAGACTTAAAGCACTCATTCATTAAAAAACTTGAATTTTCATACATTTCAAACGTGTCTTACAAAACTAGTTTTTAATATAACCTAATTCCATTATGAAAATTAAATTTTTCGAAAACTGCTATAAAAGTTGAGTTTTGCGTAGTACTTAGCGACCGTCAAAACGATAGTTTTTTGTCAACAGGACGTAAAAGTCTTTTGCGTCCTGGACGTAAAAGACTTTTACGTCCAGCTACGACAATCAAAGAATATGATACTATTTATTGTTAATTTATTGTTATGAACAAATTATAAACACAAAATAATCAACATTTAATTGTTTTATCATTTTATTTCACGTTTAAATGCAAATTTATAATAGTACATTTGTTTAATATGTGAGGTTAAATCGATGTGACGTTAAGTTTTTGACATAACAGTAAATGAATTCTAAATGTCATTATTCATTATACAGAATTTGGGCTTTTTATTAATTTATAACTTTAGAATACGCAGTTTTCGAAAAAATGTTGTTTGATACATGACAGCGAAATTCTTTTGCATTCTCGAACGATTTTTTTTGCTCGCTAAAGCTCGCAAAAAATAACTTTCGTTCTCGAATGCAAATGTGTCATTTCGCTATCTTGTATCAAAAATAACTATTTACATGTCTTTCTGACGTTTGTAACGCCACTTTTCTTATAACTAGTGATGTAATGAATTCCATTATCTAACTACAAATTGGCCACGTTATGCATCACTTGACTAAGCGACAAATGAATAATGTTGAAAAAAATGGGATTTGCGTTTTAATCTCTCTAAAAATATAAGACTTCTCAGACTAGACAGGCTCAAACTATTGACAATTGTTTGGTGTCTGTCCATTTTTATCACAAAACACTGATGACAGCTATCACAAGCACAGAAGCTGCTTGGTCACTTGTTACGTTTTACGATTATACAGGATGTTTCTGTAAGTCGTGGCATACATTTAATCACTAAAATTAGAGACAAAATGATGACGATTCGTGTAAAAATTTTAGAGTTTGATTTTGTACTTTTAAACTGGTTTTTATTTTATATAGAATTTAACTCTAACCAGTTTCGGCCCTTGGCCACCTTCAATGACTCTACAAATAGATTAACATCAGTCATCTTATCCATTTGACAATCAAGTTTCTTAATATTTCTTTTTGTTTTGTTAAAATAGATCACGTAATTTACAAAATTAAAGTTTAAAAAGTTGTAAAATGAAATTAAGGACGAAGTGTTACAAGTTTATAGGTTACAATTTAAGAACGTTCTTTTTTAACAAAAGAAATATTAAGAAACTTGGGAAAAACTCAATCATCACGTGGCTTAAAAATCGACGATTTTTTTTAATCAATGTGTAATGACTAATGACCCAAAAAAACACGTTAAAAATGAAAAGAAGGTTTTGAAAAGTGACTAACACTAGATTAACTTCAGTTATAAAACTTCTATTACATGATAACTAACTTCAGGTTTAAAATGTCCTTAAAAACCTTAATTAAAACCTTAAGTAAACCTTAATTATGACATATTTGTAATCTTCATTAAAAATCCTTTAAAATGAGTACAAACACGACATATTTATCTTCAATATTAATGAAGTTATGGGCAACTTCCGGTTAAGAATGTCAACGTCAATTTTGATATATTTGTAATCGTCGTGAAAAATTCTTTAAAATGAGTCCAAACGTGATACGTTTAAATCCAATATTACTCGAAATATAAGCAACTTCCGGTTTGAAATGTCAATGTCATTTTGACATATTCCTAATTTTTATAAAATGTCTTAATATTTGTCACAAATATCATAAAAAAAATAAAAAATTAAGGTTGGTATTCATATTTAAAAATTAAATTGCTATCTTCATTGTTGCTAACGTCGGGTTTTTTTTGTTTTTTGAGATAAGTGCGTCATCTTTGGACTCATTTTAAAGGTTTTTTAATGAA